TGTTGGAAACGACAACTATCATTACTTGGAAGGCACTAGTGGGTATCACGTGTTAGATAAACAACGCTAGTGACTAGTAGAAAAGAGGCATCAGCGCCTGCGCTGATCCCTCCCCTAATCAATAACTTTTGTTTCACAATTACCTTTATCATCAACTGCTCAGCCGCTCAACTACATCACGTAGCGGATATTCACAGCCTCTTTCGGGTAACTCCACCAGCCCTATCATGGAAAACAAAGCCCAAACCTTTCGTTTTCTTGATCTCCCTGGAGGTAAGTAAATATAGAAACCTGAACGCCAAATAGTTACTAATATAATCTCCAGAAATCCGAAATCGAATCTACGAGTTCTGCCAGAGCAACGACTTCATTATCCTAAACCTTAGGGATAGATATGATGAAAATACTAGGTCTGATCATAAGGTCATGCCTATAGTCAAATCGCACCAAGGGCAGGAGTCGAACCGTCTTGGCCTAGTCCAATGGTGGAAGCTGGACTATTTTGGCCTGACCCAAGTAAACCATCTTATTCGGTCTGAGTATCTACCCTTATACTACAATTCAGACAAAGTCTACGTTGACCCGAAAGACTTACCTGCGTATGCTGAGGCTTTTCTTGGGGTTGGCACGCCGCATCCATCACGTCCATCTACCGTGGTGACAGGGGTTATCGCATCTTCCTCTTGGTTACATGATCTCACGCCTCTATTAAAATTGGCAGCAGAGAACACAGACGTATATTTCATTTACCAGGACTATGTCAATCGCCAGAATCGTGGGGGTAACATACTCCCGGAATCAAGAGGCTTTGTACGAATCGTCAACATGCTCCTCCGTAAGGCCCAGCATCCGAGGTATAAAGAGGGATGGTGCGTCGCTGCCGGCATGTTAGAATCTATGTACATATGCGGACGGGCCAGACCCTACCTCCAGATCGCTATAAAGACGGAATGCTATAATATGATCACCCTAGAGAATTGGGGCCAGACGAACTCTGAGTTTCTGGAGATAACGGGTCTTGATATGAGCCCAGTTGGTTTTCGGATTGAGTACCCAAATCAACAGCTTTGTTCGTGGTAGCCTTGTTGATATTCGGAAGACACTCCAGTCTGTTCAATGCGGTGATTTAGGTCTGCAATTAGTAAGATTCGAGGGATTTCTTAAGGACCGTCTCCTGAATTCTCCCGAGATATTGAGTAGGAGTCACCACAGAGATAGCAGGATTGCGCGCAACACTTACTGCGGTGTTGCGGATAGCATGAACGGGAACACGTTAAGATTGGCCGTGGTCGTTGTGTGTTCCCCTTGGATCGGCGAAAAAGTTTATCCGGCGAAAAGGTGTGTTTTAGGCGATTGGATCTTTCATGTGTTTTCTATCATATATTCTTACTTGAGACAGAACGGCGAAGGTCTCATGACTTGTGTTTCCCAGCAGAATCGGCAAAAATGCTATAGCTAGCTACAAAATCTATCTAATTCCACACTCCCTACTTCGAGTTTGTTGTTCCTCATGCATCATATGGCTACGAGTCGTTATAAACCTCCTACAATATCTCATTACGATTGTTGATTACAAAATATAAGAGATCGGACTTTCTGTTGTCACCGTCAAAGGCTGACCGTGTAACACCTTGAAGTACTTGGCCTACACTGTTAGCTGCATAAAAGATAGTCTTGTGCAGAACTATGTCAGCTACTTCTAATTAGTAGTTTGTGGCAGCAAGACGGCAAAACTTAATATTTTAATAAAACTTGTTTACTTCGCAGGTGAGGGAAGGTGAAGATGGGATGAAGTGGGCAACTTGATGCAAATATCTAACTTCTTACAGACAAAAGTTCAATCTTCAACGTACATCTTTCCCAAGGGGTATGGAAATTTTCTACTTCCTAGCTCTCCAAATACATGTATACTTCCTCTCAGGCCTCCAAGCCATAACACCGGAGCGCCTGGCCAAAATAGCATTCTGAGCACCATTCCCCACACTCCCGGCCATGGCATTCGCTTCTCCATTCAGCACATTGGAACTAACCAGAAAAGCACATGTATGTCCTTTCCGCCTATCAATTCACCTCACCGAGTAGACCCTCCTAAGAGTCCTTATCCTTGAGCTCCTGACCACGACGCCTTCCTACCCTTCCACGTCGGCCATCGAACGGGAAAAGTTTACTTTGCTGATCTGGATATATAAAACATTTCACCTCCCAATTTCAGGTATTTATTTTCCTTATAATTTCCCACAGAGCCTTTTAGGTGAATGGGCACGTGTATATACATGCTCATAAGTGGAGGCACAATTATTTAAGTAAAATAATGATGACATTCAGGCAATTTTGTTCCATAGTTCATATGTTATGTCTTTAGGTTAATTCCGATACTATCAGTTAATAATATCATTTCTTATCTCATTATTCCATATATATAATAAGTGAATAAAGGTTACGTACTGGCTTGAGATCAAGAGAGGTAGATGTTAGCTGGATGCAGGAATTGTGTAATGTAAGTCAGATTGTGGTGGATCCTCAAAAATAAATTGCCGTATCGGTCTCTTCAGGTAGTGACCAAGCTCTCTTCAGTATAAGTAATGAGTTGATTGTAAACGAGTGTGAAACTGAAAACTATATACAAGCAAGGCAGAGCTGTGAAAGATGAGTGACAGTACACCGAAGTAAAATACAAGTACATGAAGAAATCCAAACCCCCACCCCTCAGAAAAATGCGGACAGTTGAGCGTCGGGGAAACTGCTACACATTGAATCTAAACCAATAGCTTGAAGTGATTTAACCGTAAGAGATGGACAATGCTCCCTCGCCTAGGATAGCAAAGCAAAAACCTGCTGGGGCAACTTGGGCAAGTGTAAGGCAATAGGGGTCAGAATAGACCTTCCATCCCCAATAAGCTCCGTCTGCTACGAACGAGTTGAATTTTGTAACCGGGTAGCATCCCGATTTGATGTCTTGTGAGCTCACAATTCCTCTCACTGGATCGCCGGCGCAGTTGCCTGCGAACAGAGTCAATGAAGAGCCATCGCGGGCCTCGAGGGCAGAAGTTCCTGGCGCCGCCCTAGTCGACGTCGTTAGTGATTATTATGCAGTGCGAAAAATTGGAAACATACGAAGGAGCACCCTGGACAGCGAGAATGAGAGAAGCGAAAGCAAGGTTGAGATAATGCATTGTGTTCTGTCGGAAGACTGTGGATGAGGCTGGGTAGCGAATACGATTTAGTGATAGAATTGAACGGATTTGCTGGAAGCTCGTCTTTGGTAGTGACCGATGAAAGGAGAGTGGAAAAGAAGAAAGAACAGGATTGAGTAGAAGACTGTGTGTTTGGTATTGAGTGATGGGTAGAAAGAAAGACGTTCTTTTAAATAGGAAGAAAGATAGAATCACGCTCTCTATGTTCTGAGGACCCGGATGCCCAATGTCCTATCTGGGATAATGGCTAAAATAGCGGTAATGTTAACTCGTCTTTCGCGCCGGACTTTTTTTGTTCTAGACGAAGGAATATCCGATTCATGTCCAATGCCGATGCCGCTCGGGATGATGTATGGCTGTACTGTATGCAATAGTCGCTGTCGGAAAGTCCGGTTTTGCGAAATTGGGCTGGAGATGGTTGTAGTATTAAAACGATCGACTTGCTTGTCGCTGCTCTCAATTTAGACCTTTTAACGTCTTTGACTTAAATTATAGACTGTCTTGTGACTACTATTGTCTGCAGTACTCTGCGGTACTTGCATACGATATTTCCCCAAAAACAATAGTTTACGCTAACAACACATTCTCACGCGGTGTTTCAAGTGGGTTTATCGCTTATTTCAGGCCTCCAAATTTCCTCTTCAGGTCATATGGAAGAGCCTTACACACCAAATTCGGTCGTACAGTGTCATTAAACTTTTTCTTCAACATCGGGCGCTTCCGCATGATCTGACGAGAGATATCTATTCGCTACGCCGTAGGACAGGCCAATCAGATCTCAAGAATCTAGGGGCACGATTTCGAAACGGCGCTAAATTGATGCCCAGTGTCCTATTTGGGAAAATAGTCAAAAGCTTGACTGTACCTAAGTTTGAGATACTACCGGATTGTTGGGCAGATTTCTAAAATGTAATCTATGAATAGCGATCGGGGTGAGGCTGTGAATACATATGTGATGTTCCAGAGTCCGCGAACTCCGTTTCGCAGTGTACGCCACTCTAGCGTTATACGCCGTAATGGATTGCCTTCAGGTATCTCATTGCTGCGGATTTACAGATGGAATCGTTTCACTTCTCATTGTAGAGTCCGCAAACTCATCTGTCACATCACCCTCGACCTGCTCCGCTATTCTTGTGGAATGCAGACTACACAAAATACTCATACACGAAAATTAAGGTTTGATGTCTACTTTCCCGAAGAGGGAGATTGTTTTCTAGTAGGATCTCTTTAAAAGCTCATGTCTCGTGGCTACGCAAAGTACAATTCCTGAAGAAAAGAACGAACAGCACGATGATGAACCATACTGACAGCCAACCATATACCCAAGCAGACGCCGAATATTCGAGCCTGCAACATTAAGTCTAAGAAACTCAACGTTGGGCCCCTGACTTCAAGACTCGAGCAAGTAGGACACTGTGACTTTGAGCCAATCAAGTAGAGTTTTAACTGACCTAAAGTAGTTCTTGGACCTGGGACCTGATTCATGATTTATCTTGCAGCTACTTTGTAGAAGTCTCTGTTTCAAAATTGCACTCAAATTACAGCATACACTACATCTAGTCTTTCACTATCAGTCCAAGTATTTCACGAAGTTTTTATAGACAAACGTCGTCTACTACCACGCGAGGACAATCTTTTGTGAAATATAAAAAGATATGAAAGTGTGAGACGTCAATCTAATTTGTTAGCCGAAGATGACTTGTATCGAATTCTTCTATTTAAGCATAAAGAGCTCCTAGATTGACTAAAAGCTTGTACATGTAAACAGTCATTCATGAAGATCGCCAAATCTCCTTCCCAATGGCGTTAGCTCGGGCGTTCAGTAGGATCCTTGCCACAGCACAACATTGACTCACCACACCCCATATATTCCTCTTTGCCCCCTTCTACTCCCATCCACATTGAAAAAAACCTTAATTACATGACACAGAAAATCGCTACCGTCTTCCTCTCCACGCACCACAACGAAAATAACCCCATCCTCGGAACTGGCATCTTCGCCCACAATGCTACCGACACAATTCCATACCACCTCCTCCTCCACCGCCTATTTCTGCAGCAAAATCATTATCCGCGCTTAAACACGTATACCAAAGATGAGAAACCATGTCCAAATGTGCACATTCTTGTCGAGCGGAATAAGAAGACGATTTTCGCAAACTTCTGGGACGTATGCCAGGGCTTGGGACGGGATAGAGACCATGTGTGAGTCTGGATTTTCGCTGCTTGGATTGTTGGAAAAGAGAGAGAGAGAGAGAGAGAGAGAGCTGACGTGTGGAATGGACGTAGTGCGCAATATCTCATCAAAGAACTCGGCACGAATGGGAGTTTTGACCAGTGGGGGAGATTGGTCGTGAAAGGGAGGTTCGTGGCAAGGCAGATTGAAAACGCCATCAAGCGGTATAAGAAGCAATACGGTAAGCCCACTTGAAGGTCTTTATTACTGGAAATGTGGCTTATGGGCGAGTAGTCATTTGCTCGAGTTGCGAGTCAAGAGACACTAGTCTTTCGAAAACTGAAACGCGGGCACTGCTCCTTACGGTAGGCAATTATTGTTTCTACGAGGCGAAGCTGTGCTAAGAGGATGGGTTGTAGTGTAATGCTTGCAAGGCGGAGTATACGGTTCCTGTGAGTGCTTTTGCTCTTATGTATTCATAGTGGAGAGAGAGAGAGCGAGAGAGAGAGCTAATGATTGTTCGCAGGCAATTCGAACGGGATATGTACTACGTTGTGCAATTCCCAGACGCAAGGTGAAAATTGCATCGAAAGAAGAGCCAGAGAAGGAACCAGAGCAAATAATTGCATCTGAACCTGTACTTGAGGAGGTTCGTGGACCAGGACGTCATTGTTTCACGGCTTTCGCTGTGAGGTCTAAACTCTGATGGTGAATTGGTTGGATAGCAATGACTGGGGTGAGGCAGGTACACAGATAATTATGGTAGGCAACAACAGAATTACAATTACTATGGGGAATGTCCGCGTTTTCCACTACCTGGAAGTAACATCTATTGCGTTGATGTCTCCACAGAGATCCAAATCTCTATGCAATGAGTTTTCTGCCAAGAATTACGATGGACTATTGTTAGGTTGTCGTGGTAAAGAATGGAATATCATTTCTCGTTTTGTTCGTCCCATTCTCATCACAACATCTGTCTTCGCTGTTCATCTCAATTTCTTCCAAACGCAGCCCCTCCCTTCCAGATAGTACGCGCGCACACACTCCTCTCCCCGTGCCATCCCCCTAATCGCAAACAAAGCAACGATCAGCTCTCCAGATGGCATTCTACAATCTCGAGCATTGGGCATCAACTCTCCAATCCTCTTTTCCAAGGCTGCCGACGCAGCAAACATCCTTCGAGACGCGGATCAGTGGCAACAGCGAGACGTGTTCACTCCAACATCCATCAACGGTAACTACGCCGGGACACTGCAGCACACGGAGTCCATTTCGAGATCCAAGGGGCAATCAACTCCCAACGCACGAGGGGTAAATACCCCCCCCTCCTAGCCAGCGCGAACGATCCCCCGATCAGCACGCATGCATATCGAGAATGAGGCTGCAGGCCGATCTAGCCAAGCCAAGCCGACGAACGTAGAATCGCACATCCGGCGTCTTCGAAAACCCCCCAAACTCCCACCCCACCCCCTTCGCACGTGCAAAATCCTGGGCATCAGGCGTCGAGGGCGGCGGCCGCGATGCGGCGGCCATTCGCCGGCCGGCCCCCGTCGACCCGCGACAACCCTCCTCCCACCGGACGATCAGCTCGAACCTGGCATGCTGATCGACGGCACCCGCGTGGCCACGACCACGGCCCCAAGAGGAGGGTTCGGCCACGTCAGAAGAGAGGGATCGTTTTCGTTCCGGTCAACGGTGCTGGGATCTGCACGGCAGATGCGGGATTCCCTACTAGCGTCCCGCCGCCCGAGTTCTGTGGTGGGCGGTGTTTGGACGCTAACTTCTCCCTTGTTAGGTACGCAAGTTGGTGAAGGGGATTATGTTGATGGGTAGTAGTGGACAAAGAGCACTTTTAGAGCCAATCGTTTTGATTTAAATGCTGCTCCTTTGGAAGAGGACGAGGACTAGCAGAACGAATCAGAGCACCACTACTAGATTGAAGCAACAAGGCCCGTTCTACGCAGCACCAAACCTCGCATTCCCCACCAAACACACCCACGCAGCCTAAACCTCGCAAGCCTCGATCCCAAAGAAGCTCTCCACCACCTCGTTCTCGACCCCCCAATCCGCGACCGCCCTCGCCACCGCATCCTCCACACTCTGCACCTCGACCCCGACGCGCTCGTTCTCGACCAGCGCGCGGAAATCATTCCCACAGTCCCCCTCGTAGAACTGATTGCTAATCGCCAGCCCCTTCATCCCCTTGGCCACCTCGCCCCTCTCCACCGCGATCCGGGCATTCGCATTGATCTTCGCGATGTCGATGTAGTCGACGGCGAATTTGGCGCCCAGGACGGATTCCACCGCCGAGAGGAGTCCGGATTGCGTGAGGTTGGGGACCGTGTCTGGGCGGGGGGTTGGGTTAGCAGGGTTCTTGTGCTCGGGGGGGAGAGGGGAAATGCTGGAGATGCTTACTGATGTATATTGGGCGGTTGGCAATAGCATCTGGGTTCCGCAGCATGTTTGCGGCGGCGAGGGCGATAGTCGGGAGGGGGGTCCAGCAGAGGGGGTTCAAGCCGGTGCCTAGAGATGGACGGGCGTTGTCAGCGATGTGGTCTCTTTGCTTGCGGGATGTATGGTTCCATGGGATATGGGGGTTGGATTTACATACCGTAGATGCGGGCGCGTTTATTGCGGATGTCGATTCCGGCCGGACCCTTCATCAGCCCTAACATTCATTTGTTAGCTTTTGCAATGCCAGAGGAAGATGGGCTGGCCCAAGCATGTTCGATACTTGATATACACTTACACATATCAAAGAAGGGACCCCCGTTCAAACTCGTCCACTTCATCCCGCCCTCCCTACCCAGCACCTCCAACTCTCCCCTAATTCTGACCTTGGCCCCAACAGCCTGCTCCGGCATCCGTCTATACTGCTCACTCGTGACATGTCCCACAAACTCATTCGCAAAGTACAATTTGACGCCTGCCGCAACCGCCGCATCGATTAC